AAATGCAGTGAGTTTATATGAGGTTACAGATATATGTAACAATCGCAGCCATATCAAAGGCCATTGATACCAGCTGTTATGACGGTAAAAGCGAAGTTTGCATGATCTAGGAGGGAAAACTATGGCAGCAAAACCTCTGCAGCTTTCATCCTGCTTCAGTGAGCATCCAAGTTGGGCTGGTTTAGTTGCAGGATGAGGTGGATGCAGCAGTTAGCTTCCAACAACCGATGAGTCCTTCTTAGCAAAAGCTTTCCCTCCCTTTGAAAAAAAAAAAGTGAATGGGTTCTTTCATCTCAAGTCCCAAGCTGATCCAAGATGTTACAGCCCCTTATCAGGGAAGCAGCACAGCAAGCAAGTCTTATTGAGAGAGGGTGATGGATGACAATCCTGGATGGGTTCATAAGGAAGCAGAAACAGCCACGAGTATCGTATCAGGATCAGTATCCACCCCTGCAAGCCCTAAGATGCTGCCACCGTTTTGACCTGGTCACAGAACCAGACTCAAATCAAGGGGGCAGGGACCTCGGGCGGTTCATCTACTTCAGGCCCCTGCTCCAGGCAGGGCTGTTTTTTGCTTAAAGCATCCCAAACAGAAAATCTGTCTAACCTGCACTTAAAAAGCTTAATAATCTCCACAAGGGGTTTAGGAGATCAGTTCCGGTGCTTGACCACTTTTGCAGCTAGGAAATTCTAACAGCCATCCTGAACCTCCCACGTTGCAATTTAAGCCTGTTCCTTCTTGTCCTATCCTCCAAGGGCACAGAGAACAATGGAGTGATCGCCATCCATGTGTGGGTTTTGTTTCTGGGTTTTTGTTGGTATTTTTGGAGTCTCAGTAGACAAGAAGGAGACTGAAAAGGCCTCTCTTCTGCCAGGAGCGGAGAACAGGGAAAAGGTTCAAAATGGCAAGAACAACCTTGAAGAAGACTCTTCCCAGAAAAGGGCTGAGAACAATCAGCATGGCCAGAGCAGCAGGTAGCCTCAGGTAGCCTAGCTTGTTAAATTAGCCAGTGCAAGACAAGGCAGTGCACGGATGCAACCAGGGTTAAGTGCTAGGCCTGGACCTCCACACTGAGCTGAAGTGAGTTGCCATCTCCCAAGGAGCCGTGGCTCTCATTTTGAAAGAGAACAGGATAAAAAAATAGCGTGTTTAACTGCAATGCTAGTGATGCCAGCAATGCCAAGGGCTCCTACAACATGGTGATGGGCCTGGCATAAATGCACAGGACAGACAGATGCAAAACTCTCGAACCCGTGGTTCAGAGGTGATGCCTTTTATTAGAGCACCTAAGAAATTAAAAAAAAAAAAAAAAAAAAATTTCTGCAAGCTTTCTCAGGCTCAGGGAAAATGAAAGATGGTAAAAAAGTCCCTGTAGGTAGAATATAATCTTCATTTTTTTTGCACAGAGGAAGCTGAAGGTGGAAGTCTGTTCCTCTGGGTCCCTGAGAGTTTCTTTGCGAGTCCCTCTTTGATGTGCAGATCCAGCAGGATTCCTTCCCTGGTGGTGTCAGGTGGCAGAAAGGCAGGGAGGTATAGAAATCTTTCTTGTTGCTCAAAAAAACCCCAAATTGGCTAAAATTCAGCATCTTCCTTGTGTCGGGGATGTATTTGGTAGCTGTGTCAACCCAAGACAAAAAGAAATGCAGAACTCTACATCTCTTTGTTCAGAGATGATACCGTTTATTAGACCCCCTAAGAAATCGCAAAAAGAATGATCTTCTTTTGCAAGCTTTTGGGCTCATGCGCCCTTCTTCAGGCTCGGGAAATTCAAGATGGTAAAAGGTATTGTCTCTGAATCAGGCGTTTTGCATTTCTTTTTGTCTCAGACCAACACGGCGAACAAATACATCCCTGAAAAAAGGACAGAGAGATGCCACCACAGGATGGTCGTGCTTGCAAAATGTCAAGTCATGTCAGACAAGGCTCTTTGGGTCAATCCCGTATCTTTTATTAGACCAAGTCAAAGAGTTGGAAAAATTCTTCTTAGCAAGCTTTCGGGCACAAACGCCCTTCGTCAGGCGGAGGAGGTGTCTGGAGATGGTCCGTGCCCTTGCTGGATGGAGTGGTAAAGCAGCCAGAGGCCAGCACGTGTGCAGGAAATGTCAGATGGGATCCTTCTGTAGTCCCCGCTCGGCTCCCTCTGCTTCTCCATGGCATGTTCAGTACCTCCGTGAGCAGATCCAAACTCTCCTTGGTCATTTGTTCCCCTATCCAAGAGAAGACTCAGATGAATCGGATGTACCCGGGTACAGGAAAGAGCCGCCGGGAAGCCATCGTGCAGCAGAGATAGAAACATCTGTCACTCCTCACTGCAGCTAAGGGGCAACGGGAACATGAGCTCTCTAAACGACAGGCTCGGACATTTTTATTCCTTATGACCTGTGTGATCAACCTCTTCATACAGCGTCCTGACGTGCTTCCCCGAGCTCTCGCCAGGTCCTTGGGAACTGCAGCGAGTCAGTAAACAAGGCATACAAAGTGCAGCCAATTTGGTGCTGCGACACAGGAGCTAATTCAATTCACTTTATTCGGCTCAGTGGAGCCTCCGTCATTTATCACCGGTGCCGTTTCCATGGCATCTGATGGAGGCCCCCAGATAAATCTCAGCATCTCCGATAAAATAAAGAAATAAATAAATACATACCAGCCTCATCCCGCGGATGAGGCAGAAGTTGATGGATGGCGCAGGGTGAAGCACATTAAAATCCGGGTCTCCTGGCTGTATTTTGGGGGCCTGACAGCACCAGCCGTCTAACGTGGCGCGAGAATGGATGAGACCTGAATAAATAATGCCCGTCGCTTGGCCGGGAATTGACGGCTCGGGTCAGGGTTCTGCAGACAGACAAGTCTTTTCCCTTCCTGTGATTTGTGGCAGGGGGACGCATCTGAAGGAGCAAAGTAAATTTCTCTGGCGATAAAAAGGGCCGCGTTTGTCATGCTCGCTAATACTGTGGTTTGATGCACTCCTCCGCAGGTGTGGGTGCCATATTCTTGAGGATTGATGGCAGGGTCCTGCAGAAGGCCTTGCAGAGAGGAGATGATGCATTAAGAGGCAACTCTGACTGAGACATTTAAGAGTCGCTACAGTGGCCAGCGCCGCAGAGACGGCACAGTGTTCCTGGCCAGCTAGCTACATTAAAAGTAGAAAACAGCGGGGAAAAAACCCGACGAGTCCTTTCTTAGTGACACCATCCAACACAGGAGGACAAAGATGTGAATTGGTGGCAGGTAAATTTAGAATCACGCAGGTTTTTTTTTTTAAAATTATTTATTGTTATTATTCTTAGTGCCCAGATAATACGGGCCTGATGTCAGAAATAGAAGAGTTGTGCTGGATAGATAGGCAGCATGCAGTCTGCTTTGGGAATTTATTGCTGCAGAGTTAAAGGCTGTAGCTGGATTGCAAAACAGGTGAGACCATGTTATGACTAATTATAATTATATGCTTCCTTGATCTTGCACGAGGCTTTGGGAGCCACAGGAAACTGGCAAACAGAGGAAGCATTACAATTTGTATCTAAGTCTGCATCCTAACCCCCGAGCTGGGAAGAATCACTCTTGGGATTCAGTTTGCTACGTACAACCCCTTCACTTTTTCGAGGGTGCTGCACTTCTGTGAGGAGCATCTTCCATGCTGGATACGATTCCAATATAGCAGAGGATACACATGTGTGTGCACATGCACATGCGTGCGCGTGCACACACACTGTCCTCCTTTGGTACTGATTTTACCTTGTTCTCCCTGGTTTTGTTGTTTGTCTAAATATAAAAAACCAGTCAAGCTAAGTGGAATGCTATAGCTCCTCTTGGTGGACAGAAACAAACTGGGTGCCTCTCTAATACCGGTAGCTGCACAAGCTATAAAAACAGCATTATAATCTTATGGTTGCCAACAGGTCACTATAGGCATCGCATAGGAACGTCGCCCTCCCAGCTACACGCAGCGCTGCACAACTCAAGTGCGGCAGAAAAGAGGGGACTGCCTTCCTCAGAAGCGCTGTGGAGGCAGGATGCAGGAATGGATGGACCGGTGCTCCAATTTAGGATAACAAACCCCATGAGGCTCTTTCTTGCCACTAGCTGAAGCAGTCAGACTAAAACAAAAACGTCATCAATTAAATGAAAAAGTTACGCTCCTATTTTCTTGGAAACTAAAACTAAAAATGGGTGATTTCTGCGGGCTGGGCAAGAAAAAACGGTACCATGACAAAAAGAAACCCAGAAGCGGCCCATATTTTTGACTGAGCTCAGTCACTTGCTCTACCACAGGCACCTAAATAAATGGCCAGAATTTCAAGAGGCTACCTCCCATTTAGGTAATGCAGTTATTCAGAGGTGGTCATCATCCAGCAAAATCCTCCTGGCATTTCTTACTGGGAGCTGCTAGAGGCTGAGCTTGTAGGAAATTTGTGCCCCTTGATCACAGGGGTCACATGAATAAAAAACCTGGTTAATTTTTGCAGCAACTGGGACTTTGTTGTAAATTCTCAAGGCCAGTGGGCATGGCAAATGAGCAGAGCCAGCTTCTGGGGCCTGCGAAACCTGTGAGCGAAGCAAGCCCACATCCAGGGGAAAGGCCCCCAGTTTTCCAAGTTCTTGGGGGGCTGTGAGGTCTACACCACTGAAAACACAAAACTGAGCTTGCCGTATGCCTGTCTTGTCTGCCAAAGGGAATTGCCTATCTTCCTTCCAGGCCTCACTGTAGAAGACAGGGGGGCCTAGGTAGGAGGAAGGGGAAAAAAGAGGGTTGAGACAGGATTTATGGAGGAACGGTACAGTCACCCACCCTGGCGATCTTCAAAACTGTCTTTATGCCCACCTTGCTGAGGTCATCTGATCTCAGCTGTCTTTCCTGCCCAAGTGCAGGGGGGCTGGACCTGATGATCTGCAAGGTCTCTTCCAGCCCCTAACAACTATGAAACTATGACACCTGAGTCAGCCTGGGTGAGACCTCGAGGTCTTTGACTTTACCCGTGCAGATGCAAGGTGCTGCTCTTACCTATGCAGCTGGGCTGGGTTCCACTCCACGTCCCGTCCGACTGGCAGAACCGCCGAGCTGACCCCACCAGCACCAGCGGGGCCAGGCAGGAGAAGGAGACCGATGAGCGGTACGTGAACCCTCTGTCCTCTCTCCTGCCTTGAGCCGGTATCCCAGGATCACCGCAAAACACAGCTGGAAAAGTGAGCAGATGGCGATGGAGCTCATCACAGACTGGCAGCAGTAATGGGTTACGTTTGTTTCTATTAAGGGTCAAAAACCTCCCGAATCCCTAACTATCAAGCGCACTGATATTGCACAGGAAACCGCTAGCAGCAGAAGGCATGCTGGCTGCTTTCTGGGCACTTCCGTTTGTCAGTTCTCATTTAATTGACTTTTCCCTGCTCCATGTGTCCTAGCAGCTGGGAGGAACAGAAGGTTTCTGGGGTCCCCACCCTCGCCCTGCTCTTTTTTTTGCATAACAGTATGCTTAACATTAAAACCCATCCTTAACTGTACAATGTCGGATCGCCATGTGGTGCACATCACATGCACAGCCCGCTGACTATACCACAGCCGGGGAAAGGGGTAAGGAACGCAGTCAGGTCTTTGTGCTGCTTAATATGAAAATAGGTATTGCGTTGTTGCCAACCGTTCCACAAAAAAAGGGAGCTCAAATCTGGCTTCATCAGCAAGAGGCATTTAACTAATAGGTACTGGATCAGACACGCTGGTTTTAATCCAATCGGAGACCTGCCGCGAGGAAGCATTGCTGTAGTGAACAGTGCCCTTTGTCGGTGCTTTTCAGTCGAGGCCTTCAGACACTTCAAGGAGGACTTCAAAAGAGCTCAGCTCCTCCTGAGCCACCTAAATAAAGCCCCAGATTTTAAGAAAGGTGTTGCATGATGGGGGATGCTGGAGTATGTGCCTTAAAGTGATCCAGGAAGACAAATTCCCTGGGAAGGCACAGCACTCGGTGTCTTTGCCTCAACCCCCACCCCCACCCCCTGCCACATTTGCACACGAACAAACGTGGCGGTCTGCTTACGAAAGCACTGCGGGATTTCTCCGCTCCAGGTCCCGTTCCCTTCGCAGGTCAGGACAGCAGGGAGAGAGAGCTGGTATCCTTCCAGGCAGGCATAGCTCACGCTCGAACCCCAGCTAAAATCAGAGCCCACAACTTTTCCGTTGGGGAGGGCTTGAGGGGATTTGCAGATGATAGCTGAGCAAAGAAAAAAAAAGAAATAAGCACAGTTCAGTTCCGATGACTACTTAACCTCCTTGTTTCCATTAGCAAGTAAACCCACATAGGATCAAAGCCACGTTCAGCTCTCCAAGAAACTCTCAGTGGGTTGGGTTTGCGAGGGGGCTGTGCAAACGTTTCCTGCTATATACATGTGTTTGCAAAGTGTGGGGGGTTGCTTTGAATTTGATGATCAAACACATCCCAAATCAAAGCAGGGTCAGGAGTTGGGTTGGTTTTTTTGCGAGGTCCCACCTAGAATTACAAATCGGATCCAGGACAGTTGGAAACTCAGCCCCAGGTTCTTCAGAAGATCCAGAGAATCTGGCGAATCTAAAAGCGTTTTGAGTGACCAATTAAATAAAAAAATACTATGAATTTCACTCAGTTTGGGTTTTCTTTAGGAAGCGTTGCCATACCCTTGCTTTCAAACTCCTAGCAATGATCCATCCAGATGCTCCACAATAGAAATAGGCAGGGTTTCCAGTTGAGAATAGGGTCATGTTATCTATGATTTTGCTCTAGTAGCTCAAAGTGGCAAGAAACGAAGAAGAAAAAGAACGGAGCACTGCTCTTTGCAGCTGCTGACTCAGATGATAAGCAATCAATTGTATATAATGGGTCTGCTGCGGTTTTAACAGTATCGGTACCATTCAGAGAATGAGGTATTTGCACAGGCACATCTAGGGTCTTGACCAAACTTTTCTTCTCTTGTTATTCTAGTGCAGGTAAAGAAACCCAGAAGTATCTATCTGTGCTAGCTGTCCTGAGCCCAGGCTCTGAAGCCTCAGACAGTAGCTAGTCAGAGGCATAGCAAGGAGCTCAGTCCCTCTTGGGAACTGATTCCTCCCACAGACAAGGGCGTTTCCAAACCCTCTAGGCTCATTCCTCCCCTCACAGTAACATTTCTCCTATAAAAGTCAGACTCTGAAACACTCCCTTTGGAAGCAGGTTTTACTTTATGTCCCTCTGGGCTGCACCCTGAAGGAGAAAGTTTGTGAGTGACATATACCTTGTGCTTTCTCCCGTTCCTTACCTTCTGTTCAAGTGATGAATTATTAGTGCTATGCTAAATCCATTCGGGTTGTCTGAACAGTTTTCCTACTCATTCAAATGGAATTAATTAGGGAAGGGACGAATTATTCAGGCTGATCAACCAGTTAACTGGCCAGCAATCAATGGATAACCTCCAAGGAACAAAGTATTACGGAGGACTAGTGTATTTAGGGAACATCCCAAGGCTTTGACGCAGAAGCCTGAGGGACAGTGGTGGGCTTGAGAGCTCAGGTCAGTGCAATATCAAGGTGGTGAAGGAGACACATCCCAGGAAGAAACACAAACCTGAAAATGCCTTTAACGACGAGCAAACATGCAGAGAAGAAACAAATGAAAATATGTGAAAACCCAAGTGATCTTTAAATGTGAAGCTACAGCAGAGGCTGGAGAAAAGATGCGGGATGGCAGTTCCCCTGCTGAAGGGGAGTGCTTGCCCAGCTGGAGTGCTGCAGCATAAAGCAAAGCTCTTAGACTTTCACTCATTTACATAAGAAACACTTATGAGCGTAATGCAACAGCTAGCAAACCCCAAAACATTAATGCCACCGGATTAGTAAACCGTAAGCCACACTTTGAGAAACCATAAAGCATACAGGTTAAATAGTATACAAGAGCTGGGTAATATCTGGGTAAGCCTGTCAAGGCAAAGCAAAGGCATGGATTATTTATACCTAGTGAACCACAGCAGAGGTTCAAAACAGTGGCCATTACTTTCTGATCTGCTTGTGCACTGGGCTGTTTATGATGATGGATTCTGCCGCCTCTCCCTACGAGATGGAGTAGGTGCTACCTTTTAACAATAATTTACCAAGCACACTTTGGCCAGCTTTCCACGTCTGCTGCATCTCTCCCTCCTGCTGTCTGCACAGTGCTATTAATGGGCCAAGCGTGGCAAGAGGTATCGAACCTCAGTTTTGTTCACAGAAGGCAGTGACTGCTGTAGAGAGAAAACACCTGCCTTTCACTGTCTTTGTGCGTGGTGCCTTTATGCCGAATGCCAAACATGTGTGGGTAGGGGAACCCAACATGCTACTAAATCAGACCGGAAATGCTTTGCCTTGGTGTATATGGAGACAAAAGAGGGTGGGGGGGGGGCAATGGGGCTGTAACATATTACACAGCACCAGGATAATTTCAGAGTCAACAGACTCCTTGCGGGAGAGCTACATGAGTGTTTTTCTCTCTTAAACCACAATGCAGGCCATGCAGCAGTTTCTTTTGGGTCTGCTCCGCATATTG